CCAGTTGAGTAGATATTTCATCCGATTGGTAGATAGTCTCAGGAACTTATTTGGAGGTCTGTAGGTGCATGAGTTATGGTGAAAGGTGGTGTTGGTTAGAAAGTCAGTAACATTCTAAGTGTTAGAGTTTTAAGAGTAGAGTGTTAGTCCCAGATGTTGTCTGAGTTGGAGTCCCCCAAACTTCCAATTCCTCTCTCCTCTTTTTCCTTCTCCTTTGCATACCTATCTTCCCTTTGTCTTAACTTTTAAAGGGCCAGACTCTCTGTACGTCATCAGTTGATAACCCAATAGAAGCACTAGAGGTGTGGTTATCTTCCAGATCGCAATTTAGTTATTTGGTCTATAGAGGGCAGTCTTGTCCCACTAAACATACCTATCCAGGAAAGAGTTAACTTTTCCTGGTGGCTATTTTGACGTCATTTTGCGTTATCTTTATAGTGCCATAATTTAAAATTTCAAAGGGTTTCTTTAAGTTTTGTCCAGACTATGTGTCTGGCAAATCTGAGTTTTGACCCATAACTTACAATGGGACCTTATATATATATAGACAGTTAAATTTTATTATTTAATCTTCTCTGTCACAATGTCTGGGTTTAGAATTGATTATATTCCATTAGCATTAGACAGTCTGTCCAACCCCCTTTCTGCTTATCACTTGGTTTGTTTATAATATGCATTCCTTTAGCTCTGGCAAAGTGGTTAGTTTTACAGATAGAAATCTTGTGTCTTTTTGTTAACTTGGAAATAACAAAATGGAGTCTGGTCTGTTCAGAGTGACTCAGAATATACACTTTTAATTTCTATCATAGCACAAAATGTCTGCCGATATAAATACTCTGACAGGGTGCCCCCACCTTCAGGGTCCCCCTCCCGCCGGGCTGAATGGAGAGGAAGGGGTTAAACTTACCTCTTTCTCCAGCGCCGGGCGGGGGACTCTCCTCCTCCTCTTCGGCTGAATGCACATGCTCTCTAACTAGTGAATTCTGATTGGTATTCACAATGTTCATAAGATTAATCCTTTTCTGTGCAGAGGGCAGCAACATACTTCACGCTTCACTTCTTTGGTACTAAGGACTGTATTACACATTACCCAATCAGGGAAGATCTCAAATCTCTTTCCTGTCCCTACCAATATTTCACTCAGCCCCACTCTCTCCTCTATCCTACACTCCCTCATACCCATTACACAAGAAGAGGTTTCTACCTTGCTTCAGTTCTCTTGCTCCATCTGTTCTCTCAATTCTATTTCCTCACATCTTATTCGCACTCTTCTTTTCTTGCTCTGCCTCTTACTAAAATCTCTCTCTCCTCATCCCTAGTTTGAAAAAGCCCTGACCAAAGTATCCAACAACTTAATCCAGTTGTCACTACTCCCTTCTAATCCTCCTTGACTTCTCTGCTGCTCTCAACACCGGTAATCATCAACTTCTTCTCAACCTTTACAGCCTTGGTCTACAAGACTCTACTCTTTCCTATCTCTCCTTTTACCTCTCCCACCGCTCTTTCAGAGTCCCCTTTTCTTGTTCTTCCTCTACTCCACAACCCCTCTATGTTGGTGTTCCCCAAGATTCTGTCCTCAGTGCCCTGCTGTTCTAAATCTATACTGACTCCTTGGAAAACTAATTGGTTCCTTTGGCCAATATCACTTCTATACCGATGACACGCAAGTTTAACGGTCTTCTCCTGGTCTTTCTTGAACTCTATCTCCAGTTGCTACCCCAGCTATTTCTAGATTGATAGAAGCTCACTTCCTTAACCCCTTAAGGACACATGACATGTCATGATTCCCTTTTATTCCAGAAGTTTGGTCCTTAAGGGGTAAAACTATATCTCTGAAAAATAACTTCTCATCTTCCCTATCTCCCTCCAAGTCATCATCTCTACCTCACAGGCTGCAGCCTTGCATCTTTGATTCCAACCTCTTTCACTCCTCAAATCCAGTCAATTAACAAATCCTGCTACTCGCATTATTAAAAAAAAACACAGGTCACATTCGCCCCAACCCAAGGTGCTTGTCAATGCCGCTATCATCTCCACCTTGTCTACTGCATTTAATTTCTTACTGGCCTTACGCTCTTCCAGCTTGCTAATGAAAGCTGAGACTGGGCACATCTTCCTCTCCTCCTGCACATCCCAACTCCCCCAATGTCAGTCCTTACATTGACTTTCTATAAGGTATAGGGCTCTGTTTAAAATTTTGCTCCTCACATACAAATCTCTGTATAGTGTCGTGTCTATCTACCTATCCTCACTTATACACAATTATGTTTAATTCAGGCACCTATGTTCTGCCAAAGATCTGCACCTATCCTCTTTTTCTACTCGCACCTCTGACACTTGCCTTCAAAATGTGTCTAGGGCTGCACCGTTAATATGGAACTCCTTTAAAAGCTTAATTAGACTCACCTAGTCTTTATTTTCTCAAAAAAAAACTAAAAAAAAAAAAACCAACACACACCACTATATAACAGATATAAAATAAACTGTTAGTTTCCCCTCCCCAACTCTGTTTTTTTTTTCTATTTTAAGATCATATGTTTTTCTGCTTAAGCTAGGTGAGAAAAACATAGAATTTTAAATAAGTTGGTCATTTTCTCAATGTAGGTTTTAAATTAATGACCTTTCAACAATCAGATTTATTTTAAAAATAGTGTTAACATTAAAATATTTTTTATTAAATGGATTACACTTACATATCTTTTTACCATAATACATTTTGAGAAGAAGGGCGGAGGGGGCAGGGCAAATAGCATATTTATATCAAAAGGTGAGGTCAGCTCAAATATCCTATATCTCACTCTATTCGTAGCCTCCCCAGTTACAGCTCATTACTTCTACATAAACCTGTATGCTGTATGTAGTGCCAGGTTTGTTATAGTAACCTTTCCCCTCCAGATTTGCTTCCGCCTCGACACCAACGGTAGTGAATGCACTTTGCAATACAGTATATGAATTATTTGCGAGAACTATCCTTATGGCAGTATTAAACACTGCTTACTAAATCTTACTGAAACTGTCTCAGACCCATTCAACTGTGATTCCTTTGTTTTGTCTGCTTGAGCTGACCTCATTAAGCAGCTAATTATACTTAGCCTGCTATATCTAAATGCTCTACTTCTTTTAATACTATTGGATCCCTGCCTTTTCTGGACACCCACTGTCCTCTAAAATGTCTCCACTCTGTCAGAATCCTTAACAATGTACTATATAAATGGCAGAGAAGGTGGCACTCATGCTAATGAAATAAAACTTATTAGTGCAAGACCATTTACCTCCACACTGGAGGGCAGATGATTATTCTATTTTATCCATCGTTTAAGGCATGGGCTGTGAATTTTCTGAGCAGTAATATACATAGATTGAGCAAGAAAGGTTCTTAATCAGATAGAAACTCACCAGTCAATCACTGCTTTAGAAAAGGGTACAGTTTATCAGCCAGGGCCGGCACTTCCATAAGGACACTTATGCGATGGCCTGTGGTGCTAATTCATAAGGGGCACCCAAAGCGGGCCTGAGGCTATACTGGTGCCATGCCTCAGTGATGGATGGAAACTGACTTAATATAAAGAGAATTGCAGTCAAGCACAAATGATTCAGCCATTATTCACAATTACATTGCCCGCTGACACCTGTGCACACCATTCTCTCTGCTGCCCAACAGTGTGCATCCATGTTTACAAGAAGCAGTTATCACAAGGGCGCAACATCTGTTCCCTGCTCTGTGCGTGGGGACCTCACATATGTCAGGGAGGAACCAAGAATGCAGAAATGAAGTTTGGTAGGGCAGCACACAGGACCTGGTAGGAAGTGCACACCACGGGGCAGGACTTGCTGGGAGAGAAGGATGTATTAAATGATTACTGCCTATATATGTTGCTTATGGTGTCCCCAACACCTCTCCCAAGGCCCAACTTGCTGAGAGCTGACTGGAAGAGCCCTGGAAAATGGCAAACCTCCCAACATTTTGAATGGACAAAGTGAGACACTTTATTTTAGGGAGGTGAGTAGGGCGTGGTTGTTCTGAGAAATTAAAGGTCGCTTACTAACAATTTATGCAACTAAAATGTAATATAGAATAAGAACAATGTATACTGTGATTTGCATTATGCTTTGCCTGCTGTCCAGCAACAATTTCAGTGTGATCAGCAGGGACACCATCAGGACTGTTATGTGAATGTACTTTGAGTTCTTTTTTTAATTTGTAATTAATATGTAAAAAAATATTAGAAGCAAACTTTGAAATGTTGATTCCCCCTCCCCCTTGTTTTTTTTTTGTCAATCTGTTTTTATTGACGTAAAGATATAAAAGTACAAGTGACAGATTTGCAATGACAATGAAATACAGTTAAAAAAAAAAAAAAAATATCGCTTTATTGTTTCAGCCCTCAGATTCATAAAACCTTTTGTCTTTGGTACGTAAAGAGTTACAAGATGGGAGTGTCAATATTGCTGTAACAGAATGCTATAAAAACCACACAACAAGTGTAGAATGAGGCACCAACACTGTGTGAAAAGCATCTCACTCTTATATGACTTATCTTACAAAAGATGTAAGAGTATCTTTATTTGGCTAGCATGCATTCTGGAGTATTCGGAGCATAAATCTATTGCTAGGCGAGATACCCATACTAAAGGACATGCGTTATTAGGAGAAGACGTGGCCTTTAAGAGCCATCGAAAACCGGCATTCGCAAACAGTTTGAGGGTAATATTTATAAGTTAGTAGGGCATTTAAGGTACCAGGAGCTTGCATACTTTGTGGTTAAGTAGAATTACGTCCCCTAACCTAGTGGGACATGGGGGGGAGGAAAGGGTGCGGATCTCACTTGAGAGTGTTGGAGGCTCTTTCATGGTTGCTATGGAGCGAAAAGCTAAGTAGATTGGTATCAACATGGCAATAAAAAATAAACATGAACACAATTAAAAGAAAACAGTAAAAATAGAATCATTGCAGTGCTATGGGAGGTCAGGTCCCAGCATTCGTGCCATCACTGCCCCTAGGGATGAAATGTGTTTTTCGTTCCGGATCCCAGGCTTGTGAGGTAGCCGGAGTCAGGGTCTGCATCGTATTCCCAATGCGCAAAAGAAAGAGGGGGACTCACACGACAAGGTAAGTCTCAGCGTGGTACCATTCTGTTAGTGCTCTAAGTAGGGACCATCGATAGTCCACTCCTGCGTCTTATAGCTGGCTAGTTACTGCACTAAAGAACCTGAAACACTCTGCAGTGGCGAAGGACAAGTCCCAAAAGAAGGTGAGCCGAGATGTCTGGAAATCCACCGGGGGTTTTCCCTTCACTGCGTTCAAAATGCATTTTTTAATCCAATACAGAGCAACACCTGATGATTACGTCTCAGGAAGCAGAGGATGGAGCTTGATTGGGTTTGTTGGTACGAAAAAAAAGCCATCAAACTCAGTCTTTTTGGCATGAGTGTGGCAGGATGGTAGTAAGAAAACGTCAAAGATAATGTGGCAATTCCGTCAACGTTTGTCTCAATTCTCGCCGTAGGTTTAATATGTCCTGCTTGGTAGCTGGTGCAAGTGCATCTCGTTCTGTGTCAGAGGTTATGAAACCAGTGCCTGCAGGACCAGAATGAAGCAAAAATGATTAATGGGAAAGGAATGGGTGTGGCAACAAAAAAAACATTTAAAGGAATCCAAGAGACTGGTAATTCCAGGAATGGAATAAAGGAATGAACCCAGAAAACCCAGCATAAAGAAAGACAGACATGGAATAGAGAACCAGAAAAACTAAACAAGAATTGTAAAAAAATAAAATAATAATTACTGGATACCAGAAGCCCTTGCAAGAAATGATCTGCAGCCAGGAACAGGATGTGACATAACTCCCCTCCTAAGGAGCGACCTCTGGACGCTCCCAGACAGAGACCAGGAAAGGAGCGAGGATCCTGCAACAAAGTCCTCTTGACTTCCCGGAGGCAAGGATCCCCCGCCGGAGAGGTCTCTTGCAAAGGTACCACCAGCCACGAATGGAGATCCACTCCAGAACAGGAGTACTGCCACGGGAATCGAAACCAGGCACCAAGCATCACAAGAGGACACCTGCAGAGACCACCGAACTGCTAGCAGATCGACCTCCTCCATGACAGGAATCAGACAGACTGAACAGGAATGAGGAAGTCATCTCCAGCAGACTGGTCCAGATACAGGAACTCTTGTATGCTGAATAATCCAGGCAGGACAGATCAGGAAAGCTGCAGAGTCCACTCCACAAGGGCCTACGGCCATACTGTCAGGGGTGGCGCTCCGGTGACCGGGACTCATTATGCTTGATCTTGATCATGGGAGTCACTGTGTGGAAATGGATTATCAGGGCAACCACACGCCCACTGGTATTGAGCACCAGCGTTTGTGCTGCCATATACCAGAGCCCTGATGCAGCTTCTGTGGATCCCAGGTGCCAGATAACAATATGCAGACCTCCCAGGATCTGAATAGGAAGGCTCTGCAGCAGATATGTATCCAGTACTAGAAAAAAGGCAAGACTAGAACAGGCACCAAAGAAGATAGCAAGACAAGACTAGAAGAACCCAGAACAGAACATGTACACAATACACAAGATTGAAAATGCATCTTCAAGATGTATATTTAAATTTTTTGTTTGAAGTAAACCTATACTAGTTTTGAGATTAGAGAAACTGTAAAGGTAAAAAAAAAAATGCATATCCTTTTTTTCACCTCCAACAATAAACCTACTGTCACTAAATGCTTTTTTCCCCCAAATAGTGTAAAAATTTGCTTTAAAAGTACCTGTTTTCATCTTTATTTTGATCAGATTTTCTGCACCTCCTCTGAATTGATGTCATATCCCCTTTGCTTTCTCTCTGCTTCCTGTATTTCAACCAACCAAACTGTCCACCAATTGCCATGCTCCAGTAATGCTCTATGAGAATCAGTAATAACACGTCTTAGTGGGTATGTCTGAGCGTCACTCACCTCAACACTTGCCCACAATGCCTGCCCAAGCCTCCTTGGAGTCGTCGTCAGCATTCAGACAACAGAACTTGTAAACCACATTTGATATACAGTGTCCTATGTTTATTATAAATAAATATAAAGAGACTGAAAAACTCATAAGGGTTAACACTGGGTAGGGAGGTTGGCTGACAGGGGCTGGAGGAGAATGTATTACTTGCATTACAGGGAGGGAGAGAAGCACGGTGCAGTCTGTGCTGTTAGCATTCCTTACACTAGATAAGACATGCCTCTATTTTCAGAGACTGAGAATGAGGAACATGTTTAAATGTGAAAGGGGTGGTGTCACACCCCCTGGGGAATTTGCAGAGATGATGGAACCGAGTTGCAGCGGAACAGCACTCCCTTACTATCACGACCCTCAGGAGCACCTGAAAGTGGAGACAGGGTCCCAGAAGGTCTCGTGGCGTGGGGGCCTTTAATGGAAGAAGCCAAATGTAGAATCCAATGAAACAGGAGCAGGGGACGTAGAAAGAAAAGGTCAGGAAGCAGGCAGGAATAATCAAGGATCAGGAACCAGGAACATAGGCTGAAAATCAGGGCAATAGACAGATATATAGAGACAAGCAAAATAACCAAGCACTGACTGGAAGGTGTGCTTAGTTTAGTTTAAATAGGTGGCTGGGTTCACATGACCAGCCACCTCCCACCAGTAAGTTGAGCACACATGATCTATATAAAGAGGTCAGGGACTCGGCGCCATCTTGCTTTACACCATAGTCCCTGACCTGTTCCTCCCTCATGGATCTGCAGCTCTCCACCTACACTTTGTGCAGAACGCCGGATCCGCCATCTTGCCAGGCCGTGTGCTCGCTGCGGATCTCGGCCGTGAGAAGGACACAAGAAGCCGCTGCAGACCCGGGAGAGCGGTCTCCAGGAGCGGCGAGTACCGCAGTGCCATGACAGGTGGCTAAGGAGGCTGGCTTATACTGCTGAAAACAGTAAAACATTTTACAGCACTGCAGAAAAACTACATAGAATTGAAAGAAGAGAAACTAGCTACAGGTATTTTGAGCTTATTAGCTTTAATTTAAGCTTAACTTGTTCAGCTATCTAAAGTGTCCTTTTAAGAGAAGCCTCGACTATGGAAAACAAGCGTCTTATCCAATACATCTTGGGGAGCTGGAACTGAACATGAACTAAAAAGCTGGCAGATCTATGCCCCTAAATGTAAACATAATCTACAAAGCATATTAGTACCCCTAACCGAGGGGGCAGTGGAATAAAATCCTATGCACAAATAAGAAGCAACTGACATCAAATTATGAGAAATATTCATCTGAATTAGAGTAGTGGGATTTTTTTTAGACAAAGGAAGAGTTAAAAAAAAAAAAAAAACACAGACAGTTACCAACTATCTCCAACTGAGAAGGGAGACTTGGTTACACCCCATTCGGTTTTCCCCCTTACAAACCATATCACCTTAAAAGAGAATGATAGTAGAGGCAGTTATGCACAGAAGGGAAAGATCTTACCATTAAAGGAATGATGGAACTGAAATTTTTACCTTTTGACATACCCATGTTTATGGGTTTGTCCCTTTTGTTGCTTTATACTTTATTAACTAGCTGCTCTAACAATTCAAGGACGTTTATTCCAGCAAACTAATTTTGGGCTACACAGCAATAACTGAGAAATTAGCTTTTAACAGAGATAAAATAATGCCACTTAGGGAACGATGGGCTGGATTTATGGCACACAACAGTGCTTTGTAAATGTGTCAACTCTTGATTGGTACACAGTTACATCATGCTCCTAGACATGAATACACTTTTTTTAGGTTTCTACGCATTAAAATATTTGGCAATCTGTATGAACCTACCACCTTGTGTGTTTGTCGTTCATTGGGGCTCCCCAGCGCTGCAGAAGGGTTTAGGTTAAAGCAGAGATCTCTAAATGGAAGTCCATGGCATTCTGGTCTATTGTGTACGAGGGACTGCCTCAAAAGTGAATGCTTTTCTAACAAGGAAACAAATACATTTTTAATTCATATGATACACCTTTATCAGATTAAGAGTTTCAAATACTAGAAAGAGGTTTGAAGTTTGCCCTGACTCAGAGTGGATGAATTCAATTTGTTCATAGATTTGAAACAGTTTGACAGTAAAAAAAGACACTTTTTACATAACCCTGCCAACTTAATATCAAAAGAACTAGAGGGTGTAAAATATACACATGAACATTCTAAATTGAAATCCTATTTTTTTTTTACCAGTAGAGAATATCAGGAGTTGAGAAGTCTTGAAAATAAAAATCGAATGAGGTATAATTTAACAAAAGAAGTGTATGTCTAAAGGCCCTGACCTATAGGGAGAATATAATTAAGAAGGCGGATAAAGGGGGAATTGTTATAATGTTAATAGATTAATATTTACAAGAATCCATTTAAAGGACCACTATAGGCACCCAGACCACTTCAGCTTAATGTAGTGGTCTGGGTACCAGGTTTAACCCTTTTTTCTATAAACATAGCAGTGTCAGAGAATAATTCCCATGGTATTAGGGAGTTATTTACCAAAAGGCTGCTCACTGTTTTTAAAAAAAAATAAAAAAATAAAAATTTATATGGTTCCCCCCTCCCTAGCCCCCAACCGTGACACACGAGTGGGGGCTTTTAAACTGAAGGGGGACCTATTGCCCCCCCCTAAACGACGGATGGGGGCCCTAAAGTAAAATGATGGGGGGGGACCTATTGTCCGTATCCCCCGGCCCCCAACCCTGAGCGGTGGTCCAAAATAATAAAAGGGGGGGGGGGGACCTAATGTCCCTCGCCCTGAGCGGTGGGGGCCCTACAGTAAAATAAGGGGGGGACCTAATGTCCTCGCCCTGAGCGGCGGGTGGGGGCCCTACAGTAAAATAAGGGGGGACCTAATGTCCTCGCCCTGAGCGGCGGGTGGGGGCCCTACAGTAAAATAAGGGGGGGACCTAATGTCCTCCCCCTGAGCGGCGGGTGGGGGCCCTACAGTAAAATAAGGGGGGGACCTAATGTCCTCTCCCCGGCGCCTAAAAAAATAAATAAATAAATAAATATATATATATATATATAATAATTATATTTGTGTTCGGGGCAAATAGCCGTATATGGAGTAAGGTTCCAGCATAAGCGTAGGATAGTATAAAGGGAGCAAGTCGGTTGTGGTGTGCTGAGACCGACGATACGGTAGGCCTGTAAATAAAGAGGGCCCACCAAGGAGTAAGTAAAGTAAATGGAAAGAAAAGAGAAAGTGTTGAAATGAGGAGTGGGTGGGAGGGTCATTCTGATGCTGACCTCAAGCGATATGAGTCAGGTAAGGGGTGTCCCTTATATAGGGGAGTGAATTAATTTAAGCCCCTCCCACAAATACAGGCCAAATGGCCTTAAAACTTGTGTTCGGGGCAAATAGCCGTATATGGAGTAAGGTTCCAGCATAAGCGTAGGATA